CTGGTCTCCTCCTCTGAACCACCACCTCATTCTTTGGGTCACTCTGAGCCAAAACCAGATCCAGAGACACTGGAAGTCTATCTGAGGAGGAACAAAGAGGTGAAAGAAGAACCCGGAAAGCAACCATGAGGACCCCAAACATCTTCAGATCCTGTCCGGTAACTGATGTCGTTTGGTATGAAACTTGTTTCTTAATCACTTTCTTATTTTTCTGGATTCCTCTGGTTTTCCGACCATTAACCTGTGATCGGGTTTAGTCCCAGAAGATAGACTGAGCCTAAAATCCTCCTATCTGCTGATGAAGATGTTCCTGATGTTCCTGAGCCGAATCCATCTCTTGATATTAATCCCCTCAAAGCTTTGAAATGGTGAGTTTTTATTTTATTTTGTGGCTCTGAAGCAGGAATAAAGCCAAAAAAGACAAAAGGTTTGAGTTTAAATGCTTTAAATGGCTAACATTTTCACCAATATGTTTCCTTTTCTGTCTTTATAGATGCTGTTCTTACTTTGGAGGTGAGTTCGGATGTTTGTTTAGAGGTTCTGTTGGTTTTAATGGGATTTTAGTCAAAGCTGACATCCACCTAAAGCTTCAGTTTGCTGTGACGATGCGTTTGAGTGCGTCCAGGCCAAAATACAGAAAATTTGTAGGCCTATTCATCCAAAGACGCCTTTACGGTCCACAGATTAAACCCGAATCAGAAAGTCAACTATGAGCTGTCTCCGATTTCCCTCCAAGTCAATAAAACATTTCCTTATTTGCAGCATTAATTGCCTCAAATGACAGGAGGAGAAATGGGCCCTAAAGACCCGACATCTGAGTGAGCTCAGAGTCTGGCAGCTCCTCTGGTGGGATTTGTTTCTATTTTCTCCAAATGTCCCGTTTCAGTCCCGTTCAAACTCCGTTTACGAGCCCTGGGCCGGCTTTATTTCCCTCCCGGTGGCTGGTGGTAGGTGAGGGAGGCGGGGAGGGACGGGGTTAAAGAGAGGAAAGTGGCCAAACCCCGTCCAGAGCAGGATGTAAACAAAAGAACCTGCCAATGTGTGGAGTCCTCCACGCGTTTTGGTTTCGCTCTGAGCCCGGTGACTCACCCAGCCTGGCCGGCCCGCTGCAAAAAGACCAAAAGTTTGAGTTTAAATGCTTTAAATGGCGGCCATTTTCACAGATGTGTTTCTTCTTCTACATCAGGGGTGTCAAACTCCAAAACACAGCGGGCCAAAACTTAAAACCTGAACAAAACCACGGGCCAAGATTAAAAAATTAACCTTTTAATATGGAACCAAACCAATTTTGCTTTAACATTGAATATGGAACAAGCAACTCTTATTACTTTATATATACCTTAATAGTGGAGACATGCAAAATCACATTTCAAATAAAAAAACACATAAACGGCATTCATTTATGAAATAATATTTTAAAACATTTTCTATTCGCAGCCTTCTGAATTAAATACCAAAATGAATTTTGCTTTAACATTGAATATGGAACAAGCAGCTCTTATTATATCATATAAAACTTAATAGTGGAGGCATGCAAAATCAAATTTCAATTAACAAAACACATAAACTGCATTCATTTATGAAATAAATTTTTAAAACATTTTTCTATTCGCAGCCTTCTGAATTAAATATCAAAATTAAATTAGCTTGTCCAGATATCTCCTGTTTTCTGCCTTTCTTTTGGTCGCTTTTGGGACTGTCACAGGAGTTTCTGGGTCCTGTCCTGAACAACAGCAGGGCATTATGGGAGTTGTAGTATCAGCGGTTAATGCGCTGTACAGTATAATACCAGCTCTCGTAGTCATTTGGCCAAATATAATTACTAGAGTTTGACACCGGTTCTGGTTCTAATTCTGGTTCTGGTTCTGGTTCTAGTTCTGGATCACTGTTAACAGCTATTGTTATCGTTAATTGGCTGGAAATTGATGCAGTGACCTCACACGGATGGTCTGAACCCCGGGGTGGAAAACAGTTTGTTTCCATAGCATTAACACAGTGGTTTGTGGGGCGTTCGCTGTCTGGATGTCCTTTACTCACTTTGTTTATTTAAAAAAAAAAAAGATATTTAATTTCAGCCTTTCTGAAGCTGATTTTCTTCCACATCTGAAAACTGGAAATTCGTCCTGCTACATACATTATCAGACTAAATAATTCAGCTGAAGCAGGTAGCAAAGCCGCATTTAATAACCACTAATGTGTAGATCTCTTTTGATTAAAAGAGAAAGATCTCCTTCATGACGTTCCAGCACATTCCGGCTTCACATCTTTGTCTCAATAAGCCGGAACAAGCAGACATTTGTTGGCTTTGTTAGAAAATAAAAATGGTAATCAGCAACATATTGGATGGTCCAAAGCATCAACAGCCTTTTTTTGCGACTTTAATTTCTCACATTTGGTCACAGTCCATCACAACCAGCTGGCAGGTTCACTCTGTGACACTCTGAGGACCCGGAGCTCATCTGAGTTTTATTTAAAAATCTGTTTTGCGATTTAGTGGAGAAAACTGTCATCCTCAGATGATGTGGAGGGAAAATGAGACCCCCAGCTGACCTGGAGGACAAAGGAAAAGCCGCCTTCTTGTCTAAATTTGAGTTGATTGGCTGGAATTATCTTCAGCTGGGGAGAAAGGACACATTTTGAAAGCAAAGGCTTCAATAAACTTTATTGTTCACGGACTAATTAACAACTTAAACCGGAGATAAAGCAAAGAGGCCATATTTAATGGAACGACTCATCACACACGGTAATTATCTTCCATAAAACACAATTCCCAGAATTGTTTCCCACTACTTTTTTATTTTCTCAAATATATTTGCATTTATAAAGTTTAAGAATGATATTTGATGCCAGTAAGACGAATACAAAGATGTGAAATTCTGTGAAAATATTCAGGGAATCAGGGGAAATTTCATCGAGTGGAAGTGAAAGTTTGGAAAGCTGGAACCTGGAACAAAAAGCCACCAAGGAAAGGACGACGGACACGTGATCTTTGGTCCAGTTTGAACTGGTGAGGATGGAGATTCGGCTTTACAAGGCAAGGATGACGAACACGGCTCATTCTGTTATCAGAAAAAGTGCAAAAGTGACCTGTTTGAGTGTGTATCTCCCTTTTATGGGAGGGTTTAATGCATAGCTAGATAAGATATGTGATTCACGACTTAAAAACAGTTCTCCTGTTCTTACGTAGTTGACAAAGATACCAATCTACACTTAATTTTCTGCAATAAAACTAAGTTTAAATGCCCTGTAAGTTCGTAAAACTCACACATCATGCACTTAAATGACCTTTGACCTCCCTGCGTTCATTGTTATTGGTCCTGTGTTGCTGCCATGGCAGGTTGTGTTAGCATCTGGTCTGGGATCACCTTCTAGATGCCAGTTTTTGCTCTATTTCTTAAAAAACAACCTCTTTCTGATTCTGTCTGACTTTTTTAAGACAGCAGAATGTCTCTGTATCTTCAAAAAGTGCCCAAATGTTTCTTTATGAATGCTAAAGAGTCCTGCATTTGATGTCTTGAAATGATTTATTAGCGATGCGCTGACACGGCTGTACAGTAAAGTCAGCTCCACTCAAGTTGAAGGAGGACTTGCGCAAACAAACCCACATTGGGGCCTGGGAGCTGCCCAGCACGGCCACAACCACAGCAGGGAGTCCAGTTCAATGAGAGGCAAGCTCATCCCGTTCAGCTCCACGGCCAACATTTACCCTGGCTGTCTCAATCCACCGGGGAGATGATTTACAGATGTTTCAGGCCC